ACTGATAATGTTGCATGGCTCTCATGAATTTGCTGATATCGTCTAATGAACCTGCAGGATGGACAGGGGAAAAACTTCTCCACCCTGCCCTGCCCAAAGGTTCAAACTGCAGAGACCACCTTAAAGATTAACAACCGGATGCCAGCTTCAGCCCCCAACACCATCCTGTAGTGTTCACACAAAGAAACTTTCAGAAATACCGGTCCAGGCTGGCTTCACACCACCACTTGTACAAAAGAGAGGGGAGAATAAGATGCTTTGACCTCTCTACCAAAACCCCTTCAGTCACCTGTGTACTCTTACATCATCACAAGCTGTGGATCCTGACAGCCAGCCCACAGTGAGCCCTTGCTCCCAGCAGGAGACTGCCTGCTCACAGGGATGCCCTCTGCTCAAGCTCTGCTGGGTCTCTGCATTAATCCTTGTGCCCAACCATCTGAGTTAGGGCTGCAGCATCTCAACCCCTGGTGCATTCCCAGCATCTCTCTCTGCTCTAATGCTGCTGCTCTCTGTAATTTTCCATTCCTATGTCCCTGCGATCCCAAGCCATCACTGCATCCATGAGTTCTCCCCCTGATGTAGCCACATTTCGGTACCCTCACCACTGCTCTTAAACTGCCCATATTCCCAGCTTGGATCAATACCAATTTCTACCACTTACTTGCCTACCTTTCAGCAAGCCCTTCTTTGTTCTGCATAGAAATAAAACTGTAACTGTACCTTGCCAGAAGAATTACTTTTTTCAACCTCCCCCCTCCGCTTCCTCCCTCTATTCTTCTTCCCCTTCTTCTTCAGGAGCAATTTTATGTAATTTGCAACTGTCTGGCTGCAAATGAAAAGAGACACAAAGCATTTCTGCGAAATATTGAAAAGCTGGCTGCTTTCCCCTCAAATTTCACTTAGCGAGAGGCTTTAACTTGGTGTGTGATCACTGCGTGTCATTAATAACCTCTCCAATTCCTTTCAGAACTCAGCAAAGTGAAGGCGCAATCACGAATCAAAGGCATGGGTTACTGAGATATAATATCGTTTCACGAAGCCAAGGAGGAGTGTGCCAGTGAATGGGGAGAAGGTGAAACACTGCACTGCTAGGATGGCTGGCTGCTGAAGAGGACACTAGATTTGGGAAGAAGCATTAAGGCCTTGATTCCCTCTCTGCTTTTCAGATCCAAAGATTTTTGCCTCTGTTCAGCCTCCACGGGTTGTGTGTCTTTCTCCAAGCCCTGTGGACTCAGGCCACAAAGGGAGCTGGTTTCTATTTTGTTCCTTAGGCAAATCTGTCTCCATCTCTGTTGAGTCTTTGGAGGCCATCAAACTGCTTTACTGGGACTAAGTCAGACTTAATTGTGCAGTTCCCCAGCCTGTCCTCAGGGAGCAGAACTGAGGAACACGAAACAGGATCTTTGCATATGCAGGACGTGGAAAATACCGAGAAGGGCAGGGAGTAGGGAGTGCGTCAGGCTGGCTAGGAGTTGGTGCTGGGCAGAGAACTGCCCATGACGCTGGCCCTGTCTATACGCTCCCTGTGAGCAAGGTGCGATATGCTTCCCACTGCGATATGCTTCCCACTTGTCACGCGTACCAACCAGGGCGATGGTCAAACCTGTCTTGCCGCATGCCAGCCCTCTGGCGGCGCTGAGGTTCACAGGTCTGTCCAATCTGAGGGCCCACACCACAGTGTGTGGAAACAGGCTTCCTGCCCACACAGCCACAAAGCAGGGCATCCTTCCCACTTACCCCAGCTGACAGCAAGGGCATAGATACCTGGCATCCTTTTAAGCTCTTAAGCCTGGGTGATCAGACACTTCTGCTAATTCACCAAGGAAGCACTCTACCTCTCTGTTCTAGGAAGCTCCATCCTTCCTTCCCCAAAGGAAGATTCACATATTTGCTACTTCCAGACTGCACTGACAGCAATTCATCAGCTCTGCAGGCAACACAGGTGTTTTAGATATACAATATACAGCTGACAGTCTTCTTGCTTTACACCCTGAGCCCTTACAAAAGGAGGTGAAAGCCAGAAATCTGTCTACCTTCGGAAAGAAATGCTAAGCCCTACTGTCAAAAAATAAGCTTTTTCGAGTTTAAATTCTATTTAGCTACCATACATCCAACAGCTCTCAATTTAAAAACAAACAAGAATTTTGATCTCCCAAAAGAAGAACTTACTAAAAATGCCATAAAAGCAAATAAACACCATGGTGATTCCTATTGACTTATGTGGAAAACCTAAAATAAAAATCCTCATGAAAGCTACACTGCAGGTATGGCCCTGCAGGAACAGTGTGGCAGCATTCTTAAGATGGGCTGACATCGCTAGCATCAGACCTTGAGGGCCTAAGCAATACCTCTGTCGGCACAGCCTACCCAGCTACAGACTCAGAAGAGAACCTGAAAGTCCTGCTCCAGTTGCCTGATCACAGCCAAAGGACCCATCAGAAACCTTATCAAAGCATTTCCATAAGTCTGTCCTTACCAAATCCCCAGTCTAGACTAAGAAAGCCCTTTGTCTCTATCCAGGCTCAGAACTGTTGAGATCAACCACTGGTCTCTGCACTGAGACCAACAAAGGAAGGTACTTGGGTACTTGTGGCATCTATGGTTGTTTTGCAATATAATGGCAAGTGTAGGATTACCAACAAGATCCCTTCTACGCCAGTTTGATCCCTTGCTGTTTCTAAACATGCTGATGCTTGGTCAGGCATTCAGACGACAGTTTGTGTCACCCTACATTGATGTCATACACTCTTAAACTTTCTTCCTGCTCTTGCTATGTGCAATAAAGAGACAGTAAATAGTAAAATGAACAAGAAATTGCTTTAGCAGACTATGAACTATTTACTGAAATCCCACTGGTGTAGCCTAGTACATTCTGCTCTCTGTCCTATGCTAGGGTCCTCACTGTATTTCTGGCGAGAGGCTTCGCCACGCAGTTCATCAGAAGGTGATCTAGATGTGAATACACAGAGACAAAATTTCACAGCCTTCTTCCCAAAGCAGGGAAACAATCAGTTACCTAGCACTACTGCCTGTGACTCATTTCCAGAGTATTCTCTGTAATCATTTGGGTCAGAGGGATGGGTGACACTATACAGATGCAAGCAAATCACTCTAAAGCTACCTCAGGTCACCCAGCCCATGTCCATGCCAAGACCAACTCTATGCACATCAGGATGGAGGTCTGTTCCATTCTGGTAGTAACCAACTCTAAATGATGACTAAAATAACCAAAGAGAGAATCCTGTCTTCTTGGTCATTGAGTGACTTTCCAAAAGAGAATCGAAATGTGATGAAATGGTGTATTGCCAGTCTGAAAACAAGACAGCTCCAAATGCAGCACAGCTCATCTTCATCTTAATCCTGAAGCTTAATTACACTACATTGCTCATTAATTGTCTCCAGACAAACAAGTTTGAAAGTACTCAGCTAGCACAGACTTCTTACTGTTCCCAAGCAGTTTTTTACACCCCTTTAACATAAAAAGCCTTTAGATCAGATCACAGATAAACTGCTGCTTTAAATACTACTCCATGCAGTACTCTATAACCACTGAGAACACAAACAGTAGAGAACATAGCGAAACATGCAACAAATTCCCAATGTACAACTGCAGCAAAATTAAGATTGCCTTGAATCCACCGAGCCTCACATGAATAACTTTTCAGAGTCTCTCTACAGGTACTAGTTAGAGACATGTCTATCTTCTCCACTGTGTTACAGCACTGTACCATGACTCATCACAACTGCTCCTCCATCCTTTGACTTGTTCTTACAGACTGACAATTCTGCCCTGGACCAACACACACAGAAGATTACATTGCTTTAGCCTGAAAGGCCAACCTTTTCCCCTCACACAAAATTAAATCAAACAGTATTTGAGCACCTGGTTATCTGCACTCTTCCCCCTTGCTGCCCTGAGATAACCTAAAACAGTAAAGATCCTATTAAGTGGTAATTAAGTTACGTGCATCTTCCAGCCCTCAAATGCCAACACAGGCCCATGCGAAAGCAAAGCACAGGTAAACAAATATGGAAAAGGATGTGTGCGTGTGGAGATTCTGAGAGGAGCTGGGAGAGGTGAGGGACCTGTATGGGTTAAAGAGGAAATGTTATGTTAAGAATTACTAATCCCTCTCCAGAGACCCCTGGTTTACATTAATTGTTCTGTTGCCTTGAGCACTCAGGGCCTCCTGTGAGCTTCTGTCTATAAGTACCCAACTCCTCCGCCTACACACCTCCAAATGAATCCTTCCAGCCTCCTTGATCAACCCGCTCAGCGCAGCAAGGAACTGCCCAGTCAAAACTCTCAAATCGTACCCAAATGGGAATGGCAACAATTCAGAAGTCATTTCAGCTCACCAGCATGTCCCAGGGAGGTAGAGGACTTCCCTGCAAGGAGGGACCTGTTCCACAGTGCCTGGCGGCCTGTGATCTGTGCTGCACTTTGCTCTCAACACCAGCTGTGGAGCAAGCAGGACCCAGAAACAGACCACAGCTAGTTCAGCAGCCTTGGTCTCATCTATATAACCTGCACAGAGACACACAACGAATTGTCCAGGCAGCCTGCAAGGCAATAGCAGACTAAGAGTGGATGCACCAGGAAGTTCTGCACACCTGGAAGAAAAGGATCTAGTACCTTGTCTTGTCTCCTGTGCGATTTCCAGCTTGCCCACTGTGCAGGCTGGGCCCACCCACTTCACCCCAAAGCCCCCAGGTCCCTAGTGACAGGGACGGATAGCTGAAGATGTCACGTCACACCGAAGAGGAGCACAGAAATAGGCTTGCTGGAGCTACATGGGGCAGCCCTGGCAAGGTGGAGAAAGGAGCAGCATCTCTGTGAAGAGCAGCACTGTGCTTTGACTCCCACATCCCTGTTCTAACTCCCAAACCACACTTCTCTTTCACAAGCAGGAAAATTAATCTAAGCCACTTCTCACTCTCACTCCCTCCCCTGACAATCCCCCATTCACTTGCCCATGGCACAATTCACTGGGACTTACCCCCGGCAAAGTCTTCTGCTCATGTAGTGCTGTCTGGGCTTTGATGGCAGAGTCTCTGGCACAGTACGTGAGGAATGCACAACCTGCAGCGGATACAGCAAGCGTCAAGTTAGACATGCAATTGCAGATACACATCGACACAATGTTCCTCTTTGGTAACAGCAGGTGACAGAAGTACAAGAACTACAGACTCTGCCCTGTTCCAGCAGACCTCCATCTCAACGTGTCTGCTCAGCACAGAGAAGTGCCTAGGCCAGCCCTTGTGCAAGCCTGACTTTTTTACAGGCAGAGGACGGGGGGACGACACACCTGGGGGGGGTACAGGACATACGACAGAGAGGGAGGCTTGCTAATTAAAGGTGCTAACGTTATGCCATTTGGATGTGTTGAAGACCCTAGGAAAAAAGACAAAGAAACAACATGGAAGGACTTGCAGACCCCATCCGAGGTCTGCTGACATCATGGAAAAGGGTCCCAGCGAATCAACTAGGTTTGGAACAGGTGTTGGAACAAGGTGAGAAACGACAGGAGAGCAAAACGCAAGCTAACATTACCTGTGCGAGAAACAGCCCAAAACACAAGGATCATAGGAGATGCAAGGAGCAGTATGATCACTGATTAAAAAAAAAAGGCAAGGAAAGAGGAAAAGTGTCTGGGATTTGAGATTTATATGAAAGCTCCATGATCCAGATTCACGGCATCATGGAAAGCTACAGAAGGAGAGAGGCCTGGCTTTCTGTGCCATACATACACCCATACAATGTGCACAAATACATGCAAATATACATATGCATGACAAGGGAAATACAGAAAGCATAATGCATTCTGCAAGGCAAACTTAAGAAGCAAGATGAAAAGCACACAGAAAAGGCCAGATCCTGGTATTCTTAGTCAAGATTTGACTCAACATCTTAGCCCGACACTGGAGCCCAGGGAGGAGGGGAGGAATTGTAGTCCGTCCAGGCAGAGGAGGAATTGTCTTTGGGTGCTCTGATGCTAGGAATAATCAAATGAAACTAAGCAAAGGAAAAGTCTGGCTGCTTATCAAGAAACATTTCCTAGCAGAAAGAGATTTATTAGACTGTGGAATGATCTCCCCAGGGAAGTGCCTGGAGCTCTGTCACTTGAGTTGTTTCAGATGAGGATAGGCAAAGCACTGGAGAATAGACTCAAACACTAGAATGCATCTGACCTCCTCACTCATCTTCCTCCTATTCACAGTGGCATTTCACATCCTAAGCAAACACAGGACATGTCCCTTCAGCTTGTTGCCAAACATCCATGTCTATATTGTTAGGCTGAGGCTGAAGATGAATTGTTATGGCCCAAATAGAGAGGCCCATCCTTTTGCCCCCACCTTCTTGTGCCTGGCTTGGGGTACTCCAAAGCCACTTCAGCTCTCCATGGATCCAAAGGTGGATGCAGGACAGGGGCTGTCTGGATCTCTCCCCTCCGTCCCAGAGGAGGATACACAACACTTTTAGGCCACGCAGAAGCCAGCTGCTCAGGACAATCCCAACCCATGGCAACAAAATTATGCTGTTCTTCCATCTCAACTCCAACAAGTTGCTACAGCTAAGCAAATCACATCTACCCTCACAGCTCTTGCTAGGGAAAAAAAGCCCTCCACAAACAGCACACAGGTATCCGATATCTCTAACCTGTAATTAAAGCTCTTTATTGCCCAGGTTCTGAACCAAGAATGCTGCACCAACATCAGACATAGGATCACCAGGTAATTTAACAAACGCAGTGAGGCCAGGAAACATGCAGGTAACCTTCACTTCTCACGGCAAAGGCAGTTAGCTCTATTGTCGGGGGGAAGCATCCCTTTGCTTTTGCTCTCCCCTCGCAGACTGCGGTAATGTCAAGCATCAGGAAAAGCCTCAAATGCACCTCTATAACCAGAGCGCCAAAACCCTATTTCTAACAGATTTGGAGGCCTGGTCATCAACGTCCCACACACAGATGCTTGCCTGATTCCACCCGCTGCTCCAGTCTGCTACTTTGCAAGTCACACAAGACTCATTCTAAGATAATCAGGGTCAGGTTTAGCACACAAAACTCTAAAGTCAGGAGTTGGGAATGAGCAAATTATTCCACTGAGAACTTCAATGCATTAGTATCACGTCCACATGCAATGAAAACACCATCCGTGCCTCAGGAGAATTAGCCATCAAAACTAGGAAAACTAAGGATAGGAGAGGAATAAGTCTACACAAAGCTACCTACTGAGTTAAGCTCTCAAACCCAGTCTCCAAGTCCCAATTCCAGTGCTTAGGAACATCAAAACTGAGTTAATGCACACTGGAAGGCTCAAAAACCTCAGCCCATGGGAGGACAAGGATAAAATTAGGATTGGACAAAGGTGCACCATGTAGTGGGGATAAAGGAGAAACAATCCTCACACAGGGACAGAGAGTTATTTTGCAATGTACAGTCACCATGCCAGAGCAGGAATTTATGAAGCCCAGCAACACCTACATCCACCAGCACCAATACAAAAGCGCCACAAATCCCCTCCTAGAGCCCTCCGGTCCTTCTCTTCCCTACAGCAAAGGCAGCCAAAACACTGTTCACCTTTTAGGTGCTCAGGTATCTGTACGAAGAGGTAGGAGCCTCTGGAGACAGAAGCATCCTGTGGCTCTGGAGCCTGAACATACCTCACTCAAACCTCCTGCTTCACTCCCAGGGCAATCCTTGCTGCTGCTCTGCTTTTCAAGGACGTGGATATTTGCGCAACAGGAGCCAGCTTGTACGCCCTCCCTTCACTCAAGCATGAAACATCACTCGTGCATCTCTAACAACAGGCTGTGTCTGGGCTGGACTGGGACAAGCAAACCTACGTGCACAGGACAGCCCTGTTCACTGCTCCATCCCCAAGCTCTCTGCGTCTCTAAGCTTTCATGACATCCAGCTCATTCACTTCATCCCACTCCTCTTCCCAAATGGCACAAATCTGGGAGGCTTTACTGGCTGTGCAAAGGAAGGAGCTAAAGAGGTTAGCTACGTCCTTTGGAAAACATGATTACTGTCCTCCACGGCCAGATGTTCTGGAGGTAGCATGCAGGAGTCAATTCTATTCTCTTTGAAAAGTCCTGGACAGAAATACAGAAAGGGTTTTTGCAGAAACACTACACTCTAAAGGCTAAGTGTGTAAACAAATATTTGGGAAAAAGAATCTTCCTTCCTGAAGAGACATTATCTCTTGAAAACTAATTCTTCAGCTGCTCTTCAGGACACAGCAAGTAAGCGAAGCACCAGGCATTTTCCACAGCCTCCCCTTGTCTCCTGCCTTTGCCCAGGTGCCTGAAGCTTACAGAAGTCCTAGCGGCACAAGGGAAGCCACATTTTCCCAGCTAAGAAGGGTTTCCATGCTGTGACACGACCCTGCTTACCATGTCTTTCATGGGTTCTTCAGGCTCCTAAAACTTTGAGCCTGACAGAATCACCCAGGGATCCATCCAAGTGAGGAGACATCCACAGAGCTGCAAAAGGGCCCATCGCTCTCACTAAGTTTTCTCACTTCCACATTTCCTGCTTTAGTTAACAACAGACTCAGGTCAACAGGTTTATGCCCCTTTGGGCACTTCTAACACCAAGTCAGTTACACCTGCTGAGACATGGGACATGGTGTTAAAAAGCCCTCAGGGTGTTAAAAGTGCCAGCCTTGAAGGTCCCAGGCACCTGGCCAACCAGGTGGTGTTGATGATCCAGTCACAGAACAGGGAAGTGTAACAGCACCCAAAGCATTGTCTCTAAAATCAAGCCATTACAAGTCCTAAATGGGGAACTTGGACTGAAGCTGCTGCTGGCCAGTGACAGCTGTGATGCCTGGTGACCAGGGATGCCTCCACCACTGTCTGCTTCCTCCAAGGACTGAGTGACTTGTCTTCTTTTATATGATTTTCAAGTCTAGACTATGATTGTTATACTGATACAGCAAACCATGTCTTAAAGTCTGACCCGATTTGCAGGGGGTCCAGGTGATAAGAAATCATATGTTAAGCTGTATTACACTACTTATAGATTGTGCTATAGTGATACTGCTTGTAGAAATCCTGTGCCATTCTAATCATAAATTCTGTACTATACTAATCATAAAATTCTGTTAAGAAAATAAAGCTTTAAATGTAACTATGACTTAGTGCCATCATCATTCTGCCAAGGATCCCTAAAAGAACCTGTGTGTCCCCTTATATCGGATGACACTGTCCTACCCCCACTGGCTCCAGCACGGTTTCCAGCTCCCTGTAAGCAGAACCCAGCCTAGCTCTACTTGTAAGAGACTGCAAGAAAAAAAAAAAAAAAAAAGATATTCTGTGCCTGATCCTCCCTACAAACCATGCATTGACTCTGGGATTTACAGTCCCTTCAGATCCTAAACATTACTCCAAACATCAGCAGTCTAAAGCCTCGAGCAAGAAAAGGCTGTCAGTTTGCAGAAGAGAGGGGTCTCTAGATTCAGCTTAGCATTAGAAATCACATCGAATACTTCAGCA